GTGGCTTCGGTTGGTGTCTCAGTCTCCGGTGCGGGAGTTTCCGTGGCTACGGTTGGTGTCTCAGTCTCAGGAGCTGGAGTCTCAGTGGCTTCGGTGGGTGTCTCGGTCTCGGGAGCTGGAGTCTCGGTAGCTTCGGTTGGTGTCTCAGTCTCGGGGGCTGGTGTCTCAGTGGCTGCGGTAGGAGTTTCCGTCTCTGGTGCTGGGGTCTCGGTGGCTACAGTGGGTGTTTCGGTTTCAGGCGCAGATGTTTGAGTGGTTGGCTTGGTTGTTTCCGTCGATGGGGCTGGGGATGTGTGCTTCGACCAAGTGCAATCGACGTCGGACCACCAGATACACTCTTGTAGGTTCGGGTCAAAGTTTTCCCACGCCTTACATAGCTTTGCCGTCGCTGTGCCGTCGTTGCATTCGAAGTACGCTTGGCAGCGGCATGGGTCGGCCAAAATGCTTTGTCCACTGGCTGGGCAGGCTGGAGTGAACTCGCATGGTGGTTCCGGCGTAGTTGTGGGCTCTTCGGTGGTGGTGGTGGGGGCCGCGCTGGTCTCGGTGGTGGGTGGCTCGACGGTGGTGGGGTCTGACCAGGTGCAGTCGACTAAATCCCAGAGCTCGCACTTCAGGCTGATCGGGTCGAAATTCTCCCAGGGCTTGCAAATTTCGGGTGTGGCTTTGCCGTTCTCGCAAGAGAAGTAGTGCTGGCACTTGCCCGGGGTCGCGTCTGGCACCAGCGCGCTTCCGGTGGCGGGGCAGATGGATTTGGGGCTGTCAGTGGTCTCGCCAGAGTCTTCCTCACTCGAATCAGAAGATATTTCGGCCTTCCACCAGTCGCAGTCGACCTTTTAAATGGACAGCAGATATGAGTTAGTTGGCCCATATTAACCAAAGTGAGTTAATTATTTTATGGGACCGGGCTCACCTCGTACTGCAGGACGCACGTCTTTTTCACGGGGCTGAAGCGCGTCCATGGCCAGAAACATGTTTTCTTCTCCCACTTGCCGTCCTGGCAGCTCGCGTAGCTGCGACAGTTTCCCTCACAGGGCAGCGCCAGCGCCAGGTCGGCGCGGCCCGCGGCGGGGCAGCCAGGCTCCTCGCGGCACACGGCCAGGCTCAGCGCCGACTGGCAGGCCACTCCGAGGAGCACCAGCGTGAATAGACTGCCACCTGAGAAAAGGGAAAAGCATTTTAATTAGTATAAACGAGAATAAAAACAAAGTTGTCGTCGTCGTCGTCGTCATGTTTTCTCCACAATGGACACAAATTATAGCAAACCGCTTAGGATCGGGGAGTGGGTGGGTGGGAGTTTCGAAAAGCGCCGTGCCTTCAATTGCATTTAGAGGATGGCCAGAGTCCATGCCAGCTTCTAGAAAAACCATTTGTTGATAACTATACTGTGTGGTTCAATTGGACTTAGATACAAAGCCACCTCAGCAAACATCAGGATGATACGCTCCAATCGCTCTAATCTACGGCGGATTATCTTGCATTTGGCAAGACACAGATTGATCTCTCAAGATCTGCTCGTGCGGATTATTAATGCATGCCATTCGAGTTTATCGCTGTTGCTATCGCTTCGTAATTCTTTAAACCTATGCAAGTTGACCCTCGACCCTCCGTCTTTGAAACGAAGTGAGTGGCATTTATTCAGTAATTGGGTGTACTAAAAGATAGTTGTTGGCTCACAGATCCCCATTATTTTGCAGTTTAAGTTTAAGAAGATGACAGCAGTTTTAACTGCAAAACTAAATTCTTGCAGTTTAACCTGCCCAACTGCATAGGATTACTTTGACAGTTCAAACTGTACAACTTTTTTTAGTTTTGCAGGTTGACCTGTGCAGTGGACTCGTGCTAACTGTCGCCTCGCTAACTGAAGTGCACGAGATAGATAGACATGGAAAAATAGCACGTTTCATGCGGGCTGACTGCCGGCTCCAGCGGCTCGCCCGACTCGCCAACCTGAGGGGTGAGGAGAGCGGAGCACGACAGCAGCGAACGCACAGTACCCTTGCTATCTGTCTTAGCGACAGTTAGCGAGAGTGTATCACGTTTTACATTTGTTAACCCAACTGTGTACATAGCACACTATTCCTTGCGTGTACTTAAAGGCCCACACTAGGAAGTGTGTACACTTCTTAGTGTCTGCGCGCCACATAGCGTAGCGCTAGGGCAAGTACACACTTCCAAGTGCTTTTAAGTACACACAGGGTAGAGTGTACTATGTACACAGTTGGGTTTACAGTGTAGTTTTTCAGTTTAAACTGTAGAACCTGTCAGTTTTGCAGTTTAAACTGAACAACTTTTTAGTTTTGCAATTTAAACTGTCATCTTGTTATACCCTTAGATTTTGCGCGAGTCGACTTTCAAAAGCCATCGGTTCGATTACTATGTCTATTAAGGATAAATATCTGCCGATCCGACTTAAACTGTTGATATTAAACTTATTTCAAAGCAGGTCTGCTTTTTCTATTTCGCTATTCTATTTCGCGAGTTATTGTGAGTGCACTGCAACTTGTTCACAAATATTGTAACTTTACAATAATTTTTGTAGCTCAACAAGTTCGTTGTACAAATTATCATTCACCACAAAAATTAGCAGAAAATTTGACAATAATTTGAAACTTTACTCGTATTGGTGCATCCAGACCGGATGCAATTTTGTTCCTGAATTTGGACAAACACGTACAAAGTTTTACACAATTTGTGCAGTTTTAGGAATAAAATTGCATCCGGTCTGGATGTGCAAGTAAACGTCGCCTGCTTTTTAGGATCGAAATTGTCCCTTTACATTTAGAGTGAATTCTGAATACTAAGTTGAAAAGTCGTAGAGTGTCGCGTGGTTTGAGCGAATAGTATCAGCATAGATTACGTACCCATGAGCTGCTGGTCGCGAGCCATCGTTGGTGACGATTACAACAAGACTGGCCGATGTCAGCGACCAGCAGTCAGGTTTGTAAGCGCTTATCCCGAGGGTTCGGGTGGCGTGAGATAACTCAGCCGTAAGCGCACTTGAAAACCTTTGCCGCTAACAACACTGCGCAGCCGCGCAGACGAGGCATGTAGGGGCCAAAGTGGCCCAGAGCACTCGCGGGACACTGGTGAGGTAGGGAAGTACCATCCCGTTATCTCCGTCAAAATCGATACCTTAGACTAAAAAGCACGCAGTTCAGCCGCGCGTTTCGAAAGACACGCAGTTTACCGCTATAGAGATAGGAACTGCGTGTCTTTCGA